ACGGTTTTAAGTGAAAACAACAGTAACCCCAGTCCTTGTTCAGAACTTAGAACAAATGTTTTTGTTTGTTTTCCAGGGGTGTGTATTTTATCACACATTGTTTAAAATTGCATATGCATAGTAATAATAAAAAGACTAACTTTCAGTCCACTTGAATTATTTCAAGTCTTCTGCAGACAATGCTCTTTGTATTGCTGCAACCAGAACAGACAGTTTGCACTGCCCACTTCTGGGCACAGCTCAAAATAAATGTTGGCCAAATCCTGCTGAGTGACGAGGTTGAATCTACATTTATAACAAGGAGATCCTCAAAGTGCCTTACTCACGGAATTAGGAGGATTAAATTAATACTACATGTACAGTGCTTAGCACGATGCCTGGTGTACATTTGTTACATACGTCTGTATGTATGTGAGCATTTATTCCACTAGGATTTCCCTCCCCCCACCATTCATCACCAGGCAAAACCCCCTTGAAAGCATTTTTAAATCAAGGTATTTTATATAACACCCAGATGGATCATTTATCTTGAAAAATAAGAGCTCTGGCAGCAATGGACCCATGTTCCTACGTGTCAATGATGTGCAAGGTCTGAACCATGATGCCTTTTTAAAGAAGGAGTTCTGATCTCCAGTTTGCCGTTGTCTCCACCACTCCCATAATTTACACCTAGACAGCTTCGACAAGCCCCATTACCTGCTAGTCAGTCAGCCTTTGAATACGTGAACTCTGTTCAAGGCCCAACTATAACCTCCCTGATACCCAAACCCTGCCCCTTAGCAAATGAAATACACATCACATCACTTCTCTGAGCCGGAGCTTTCTGAACCAACCAATGGAACCAAAAATGTCCAGCTCCTAGGGAATACTGAGACTACAAGTGGTGTATGTTCGCTATGAAAACATCTTGTAACTGCACGTTTCACCCTCGTGAGAAAGCCTCTCATGCAGAATGACGGATTCCATGTTTACCAACAAAGTATACATGACACAGAAATAAAATTTCACAGCCAGACAGAAACGTTGATTTGTGCACACAGCCTTACCGATACAGGGATTGAGAAGTGATCCAGGGTCTACTCTGAAAGAAACCATCTGTCAGCCTCCCAGCTTCAAATCGTTTGCCCTCCACCTAAGACTTCCTGTCAGTGGGCAGGTGATTTCCTGTCAGAGAGAAGATGCCTTCCTGAGGGATGCTCCACCCACACTCAGAGCAGGTTCATTTAACCCTAGACGCCATCAACCAGGTCTGTTTAGCGGAACGGTTGGCAGTGTCTGCATTTACATTAAGAAAATGCACGTTACACTTTAAAACGTAAATGTCTTTTGCATCATCATTGAGCTTGGTGAGATCATTCGCTTAGCAGCTTTGGTGCACTCGCATTTACTTAGCTCAGGGGAAAGGGAAAGGGGAACCCGATTCTGCCATGTCTCCATCGTGGGCCCTGAGTCGGGATGGTTCGTACTGGAAAAGGCAGAAAGAACCCTTACTTGAAACGTTTCCCTTCTATCATTATTACCTGAGGAGGAAACGATGTTTGCGAGGACACAGCTGACATCTCCACCAACCGGAAACTGGCATGTTGGAGGCGGGTGCCGGGAGAGCTAAAGAAGCAAGGTGGACAAGATGGGGAGGCATGGACAGACAATTCCCAGTGAGGACCTGCAAATGGCCATCACATGGGAAGTCTGCTCATCCTCCTCTCTACCAGGGACATGCAAATTCAAATAGCAACGAGCTCTCTTTGTCACTGAGCGCACTGGCATAGCGGTGAAAGTCTGACGCCAACATGTCTGCGCAGAGGGGAGGAGAATGAGCTCCCGGGGGGCTGTTGGTGCGTGTGTCCATTGGTTAGCCGACCTGGAGCGCTTTAGGCACACACCAAAAAGCTCCGCAAACCCTTACTGAACACTCCTGAGTTTAGATGTGTTTCAGAATTTCCTTCTGATCTGTCGGAGAAAGGGAGCAGATAGCATGTATGTATCATTACTCCCAGTGGGTTCTGGGGCGGCACCCTTCTGTTGACAGCTCATTGACTGTTCTGTACTAAAACGGGAATATTCACATTTAATGGGGCTCATACAGATTTGGCCTCATCCTAGGTCAGTTTCCACCGACATACATGTTGTCACAAACAAATGTGAATAATGGGGTTTCTAGAATTTTTCTAGATATCAGAATTGTGGATAAGTGATTGTGGGTCTATACATAGAAACATATAAGTGGGTTTGGATGTATGATTGCCAACATTTTGCTTATCCACTCATTAACTCTACACTAGCAACACATCAACCGTAAGTGCGCACCTGAGAAAAGTGGCTTTTTTCTTTTAGCACAACCCACCGTCAGAAATGCAACTCACACATGCACTTACATAGCTAGCACTAGTTTCGTTGAAACAGTATTTGCCCTACCTACTTGTGATGCACTCTGGTCTCTTGTGGTCTACATTTCATTCTTCACTGTTCACCCTGTGCCAGGCACGATTCTTTATTTAAAATCATTTTATTGGCGGCTCATACAACTCTCATCACAGTCCATACATACATCAATTGTGTAAAGCACATCTGTACATTCATTGGCCAGGCACAATTCTAAGCATTTTTGTATAGTTCATCATTTTTTTAAACTATTGGGTTACAATTCAGCAATACGAAACAAATAGCCCAGCTGAAAACAAAAACAGATACAGGATCTGAAAAGACTTATCTGAAGAAGATATACAAGTGACCAATAAGCACATGGAAAATTGTCTATCATTGCTCAACAGGGAAATGAAAATCAAAACCACCCCTTGGATAGCATTTCACTTCCACTGAGATGATTTTAATTTTTATAAGACAGACGATGACAAGTGTTGGTAAGGGTGCAAAGAGAGTGGAACCCTCACACGAAACTGGTGAAAATACACATGGGTGTACACACTTTGAAACAGTTTAGCCGTTTCTCAGAACATTAAACAGAGAGTTACCATATGATCCAATAATTCTACTTCCAGGTGTTTACCCAAGAGAAAGCAGTTGTCCACACAAAAACTTGGTCACAGAAGCATTCTTCATAATAGCCCCAAAGTGGAGACCTCCGGGTGTCCACCGACTGATGAATGGATCCTCCACAATGATAGATACCATATACCCAAACCCACTTGCACTGGGTCAATTCCAATCCATATCTACTCTGTACAGGGTTTCCGAGGCCATGAATCCTTATGGGAGCAGACAGTTTCAGCTTTCTCTGTTGGAGCAGCTGGTGAGTTTGAACCACAGACCTTTAGGTTAGAAACCCAATCCTTATTCCACAGCTCCACTGGGGCTCCGTGTATCATACAATGGATTATGGTCTGCATAAAA